CAGATTAATGGCTGACATCGTATAGTGGAAAAAGCAAATCTATGAAAGTAGAAATTTCAGCTCTACTACTTACTAGCTGTGTGACTTTGAGTTTGTTCATTAACTTCTCATCTCTTAAAGGACTAGTAATACTTAACTCGAAGTGCTGTTGTGTGGATTAAAGATAATATAATAAAGCACATGACAGACATAGTAACTCAACAGATAGATTCACCTTGATTATCATGCTCTCCTAATTGGAAATTTAAAGTTTTAAGTTGTTAATAGTTTCTTATATGTGTGGCGATAGCATATATCTATTAATTTCAAGTCTTCTCATGATTTGAATGTGTCCAACAGAATTGTTCTATGAAGAAATGAAAGGAACAACGATGTGTCCTTTAATTATCTCAACAGGGCTGTAAGTCATATGCAGTTTCACCATAAGAGAACTCATTAAAAAGATACACTGAAGACTATTTCAGTGTTACTTAATGATCTTAGGGAAAACCTAAAAGTATTATAAATATCAGCCTTATTTTCTTTGCTCATACTTATCTTCTTTGTAGCCTAACCAAGGTATAAATTAAGCACATTTACTTACGGTGGCTATCTCATACTGTAATTAAAGACAGATTCTATTATAATTTTTGAATGCAGACTTATAATTTTATAAATCTAATAATGTAAGGTATTGCCTTTAATAGAGAAAAGCAAATGAGAGTTAATGATTCAAGAAAAAATCCTGAGAGTTTCAGAGTGCAAGATCTTACACTATAACACTCTATTTCTAATATATTTCTTGACTGGAATTCCCTATGACTACAGTAATATATCAAAAGGTAAACCACAGTTAAACATGAATGCCTAGATTCAAGGAGATCAAAAGAATGTCCAGTTGTTCCAGATGGGGTGAGGGAAGGGAAAATAAAAGAAAATAAATGACTAGAAAATCTAGGTTTCCATTCGTAGAAAAAATAGGAGATAGTATTACTCTCCAGAAGATTCAATTCACTATATTGTAAAAATCACACTATTGTAGGAAATCAAGGATGGCAAAGTATATGTAATAAGACAATATTTTTAAAAATTACATTAATGTGCTTTACTCTTTTGCAGTGTTTTGTGCATGAATAATTCCTTATCATGCCAAGAATCCATTGCCTTGGGGTTAGGATTTTTACAATAGAAATTTTGTAAGAAAAAGATGCGGCTTTAAAAATCTAAAGCAGGATTAATTTTCAGTTTGAGAGAAGGCATTAATTTTGAAAGCTAAGCTTTGTCAAGAAAGAAAAGTATTTCCCAAATTCTTTTAGTTCCTTTTAGGGCCAGGTCTAGACAAGACCATTAAATTCTTTCCATAGCATAGGAAGGATATTACTTCCTTCTTCAAACCAAACTTTGAGGCTTATTATCTCAGAGAAGGAAGTTAGAAGCAAGTAAGTCTGTATTGGAGAAAAGGAGGAAGAGAACACGCCATTCTTTTTGACGTGGCAAACTGTGGAGAGAAAGAAACAAGTTGGGCAAGAGAATTTGAATGCTCACATCCTGTTTTTCGCTCCCTGTTTAGGGAGCACTCTAGGGTGAGTGGAGAGGCAAATAAAAATAGGAATGAGTGGTCCCAAGAACGCTGGGCTCTGATAGCTAGGGGAAGCTGTGAAGTGCTAGGAGAAGCCTTGTATGTGGCTTTGCCGAGCACAAGAGCCACACTGCACCATAGGTGGAGGGAAATAGCTGGATGGGTACCCTGAGGCCCTATGGCCTACTCTGAGGGTACTGTTCTAACAGTTAAAGTTGTTCCCCTGTACTCTGATGAAATGTGGAGGTGCTGAGAGAGCCCTGAAACTGACAGAAGCCTGGAGTTAAACTGGCTGCAGGGAGGAGGGAGTCTGTGACCAGGAACAAATGACCAGGACCAATACAGTGGTACTGCCATCACGGCATCTCCCAGGCTGGATAAGACAAATAATACCTCAGTGTGGACCAGTCCAAGGGCCAGACCAGAGAACAGCAAGGGTCAAGAAGATGCACCATGACTCTGAGGCCCCCACTGCTCAGCTACCTTAGGTCACAAACACTATTTACTCATACTTCAATATATTATCTTGCAGAATAGCAGAGGAGAAGTAAGAAATAATATATATATATTTCTGAGTTGTCTTGTAATGAGCAATTGTTAAGGAGTCACGTAACTTTTAGTTGTTTTATGTTTCAAGTATTAGACATAATCTACTGCTGCCAAAGTAACGCTTATAGCATAGTATACTGTAGATAGAACATATTTCCTTTGTTAATAAGCAATAATTTAAAGTGGAAAGGCAGCTGCAAATTGTTTCTTGGGGAGCTTGCTCAGTAACCTTTTTTTTATAATGCAAGCCCTTGCATGGCAATCCAAATTTATTGAACTACTGATGCTAAGTTATACAAAATTGCACCACTTTAATTAAGGCTTTTAGTTTACATTTGGCCACCTCAAAGTAGTTTAACATTAGGTTGGTCAATTTAAATACTGTGGCTCCCTGTTGGATAGACACACAATCTTTACACCCAAACGTTAATGCATACAAAGCAACAAGGCATTGTTAAATAAAACAGCAATAGTTACTGCAACTTAGGCCTTGTAACCAATTACACATGATTAAAATTACTTCCCACATTCACATCCGCAGTACTCCTCCACCATTTAACATCTCAACCGAAACATTACACATGTGAAACAATCACTAACAGGCAAAAATACTAAACCTGTATATTTGGTATTGCAAATACACTTATTCATGAGCAAGCAAGGGATTCACAGTGAGAATCTACAGCTGCAGAAGCCTGAAAATGATTTACAAAAACCGTTAAATCATTAAAAAATTGTTTGAAAATACACACTTCTTGTTGTAGACCCCCACTGTACACACAACTATAAACATTGTTCCCTATGTAAACAAAAAAGGAAACATATAATAAGAGATTTGAAAAGTCTGGACATTTCCTTCCCAACAGATATTAAAGGCAACATCTTTAAATCTAAGACATACTGAAAGGACTGTCATATTTTAAAGACACTCATATTTTAAAGACTATCATATTTTAAAGGACTATCATATTTTAAAAACCTGTCTCCACAGGTTTCTTTAAAAATTAAAAAAACTATATAGCTGTGTTAATCAAAGCACTTATTTATACAATACAATGATAATGACCTTGAATTTCTTTAAAAAATTACAATAAGCTACAAGTATCAAAGAAGCGAAGTTATCTGGAGTAGTCTATATAGGAGCTCTTTGGACTTTCTTTTATTATGCTAAAATAGTGGTGCTTTTAGGATTTACATTATTGTTCTCTCCAATACAAAGTATGGGGTGTGTTAAAATACTTTCATACATGTACAACATTGGTGGATGAAAAATGTCTCTTAGCAGTAATACTGGATTGTAGCCTCTGGTTTTACCAGCTGCATACTCTAGGACTATTATATAAGTAAAAATCTCTCGTGATACTGGAAAGTGATTAGAATGTGCAAACTGATGCAGTAGCTTTCATCCACCTCTTAAAGGGTACCACCACAGAAAGTCCATTTAAGATGTTGGTAGGTTTAACAAAGTTGGAATGCTGGCACTGTTGAACTGGTCAACAGTTCTTCAGACCTGGCTCAGAGCTACAATGCATTCAGTATATTACAGCTAACATGATGACTTTTTGCGGGCCTTCCCAGGTACTGGAGTTTTTCTGTTAATTTGCCGCACTAGGTCATAAAAGATCTAATTAACATTTATTTTTGATTTTGCAGAAGATTCTAAGAATGCACAGTTGTTCCACTGTCTTGCTAGATTTTGACCTTGTTCCTTTCCTACAACTCTTTCATCCTCCAAGTCACACTTATTACCAACCAGAATCATTGGAACATCATCAGTGCTTTAACTCGAAGAATCTGTTCTCTCAGATCTTGTAAATCATTAAATGTGGACTGTGCTGTGATGGAATAAACTAATGCAAAGCCTTGTCCATTTTTCATGTACAAATCCCTCATTGCTGTAAATTGTTCCATTCCTGCAGTATCCAAGATTTCAAGCATACACTGTTGTGCATCTACTTCAACTTGCTTTCGGTAAAAATCTTCTATTGTAGGGTCATATTTTTCAACAAAAATTCCTTGAACAAACTGGACAGTCAGAGCAGACTTTCCAACGCCTCCTGAGCCAAGAACAACTAGCCTATACTCACGCATGGTGCAAACTTGTCAAAAACCAGTACCTTGCACACTGTCGCCGGGTCCCCTCAGCCAGCGTCGCCCCGCGCCTAGCGCTCCCTCCGGGTCGCTGCTCCTGGCTCCATGGCAGTCTGCCGTTGCCGCTGCCGCCACCGCTCCAGCTTTAGTAACCTTTTGAATTAGTTGTTTTAATCAAACACTAACAGTCCTGTGAATAATTTATGTAATAATAATGTCTGCGCAATCCTTTACATCTTTAGCGCCTAAAAGCATGTTCTTAGAGTAGTAGGAACTGAATAAATATTAGTTTCATTCTATAATGTTTCATTGGCAGATATTTAATAATCAATCATAAAGCCATTTTATGTACTTGCAAATACTCTAGAAATCATTACTATAGAAGATATTCCTATTCATTTTCTTCAGCAGAATAGAGAAATACTAATGAGAAAAAAAGGTATTTCTTGAAATAAGGATCCCATATCCAAATTCTTGCATTAATATTTTCACTTCTGACCTACTGTGGGTTTTGATGAAACCACCTAACCTTTGTATAGAAAGAGGACAGTATTTTCTTTCTACATGTTGGAAGCTGAAAGACCTGATGGCATATGTGTTTTCCTCAGAACTCTCTGGTAGAGAGCCAAGAATAATGACAGTGATGATTACAGTTGTGTTAGAAAACACCTCACTTGACCAGCTGTTGTTTTCAACATAGCCCTATGATTGGCTAAAGAAAGATGTCATGTGACTAGCTTCAGAGTGGCAAGAACCCTTTTGAAACCATGGCCCATGCCTGACTCACATTTAAAGGATTAAGTCCTGGGTGGAGATTAACTTTGCATTGTCTTTCATTTATTTTAGATGTCAGAGGGAAGATTCTAGAGTTGCATTCTAGGACCATTTCCAATAGCTGACAACCAAAGTAGATGCTGTGTAATGAAGGAACCACCTCAAGACTATAAACTAAAGGTATGGAAAACAATAGTTAAAAGGATTTTATGAACATTTTAAAATTCATTTGTTTTATTCCTTATGCCCTGTTATAGTTCACTATAGTATGATTTTGTTTTTAATTTACATCTTGCGCTTACATCTTTAATCTGTCTTGTTCAAATTTCATTCTTTCTACTTGAACCTTGAATGATCAGGCATTTCAATTTATGGCTTAGAAGTAAACTCAGTCAATTTAAAGTATCTTGTGAGGTTTCCAAGGGCATTTGTTTTGTTTGAAAATTTTAATTCAGTACTTCTCAAAGTGTGTACCATTAACTCCTGGGAATCCCTGAGACTCTACTGGGTTGTTGATACCAAAATTAAAGTATAATTCATGGTTTTGCTGTGTTGACATTTGTACTGATGAAACAAAAACAATGATGGTTAAAGCTGTTAACACCTCAGTGTGACCAAGGCTGCACCAGGAGTTATACTGTTTGCTTTCAACACTCCAGAAAAAAAGAATTTTAGTTCCCTTAAGCCTGTTCTTGATGAAACAGTAAAAAATATTACTTTCAAGAGCTACTAACAGACAAATCATGTTTAGACTTAGTTCTTTAGTGGAAATTAATGAAATGAATCTGTCACTTCAATGAAAACAAACGATTTGTTGTTTATGATAAAATTCAAACTCTCAAGTGGAAACTAGAATTTTGAAAACCTTGTATAATCCCATGTAAATTTGACAGCTTGCCAATACTTAAAACCTTTTTAAATGAGATTTGTGTTGATATTAAGGACTATGGTTTTTTGATATTATATAATGAAATGTGTCAACATTTGGGAGATCTGCATGATTATGTGGATTTAGTGAGTTAACTTCATAATTAGCCTATGCATATGACTTAACAATCCACTCAAAATGTAATAGAAATTGATGTATTTTAACATAAAGTGTAAAAATTTCATTGATACGGATTCAAATTCTACATTGCAACAGCTACCATCCAGCTACCACTTTTCAACTTTTAGTGTAGAATCAAACAATATCCACAATTTTTTGAAAGGTTATCAAACAGTTCTGTGTAAAACAAAGTTTCCTAAAATACTTTAATCCGCACAATACACTAATACAGTAAGTTAAAAAGTAGACATAAAACAGGATTCATAATTTTTTTGAAAGTGGTTTTTAAAAATAAAAACACTTTAAATGGTTTATAATTTTAATTTTGTCAACAAATAAATATTTTAAGTATCTTAGTTTTAAGTTCTAACACAAAGAAATAAATTGTCCAGATAAACCATACCTGTTTGGAATCCTCAACAGTTTTTAAGGGTATGAAATGGTCTTGAGATCAAAATGTCTGAGTAGCGGTGGTTTAAATCATTGCAAGGGAAAAGGCTTAACAGAGCTACCCAATGATAGGGTGTTAATGTATGAGCCTTGAAGGTAGATGTTAAAAATTTATAAGCCCGTAAAAAATCTTATCTTTTTCATTCATTGACTCAGTTCATCACATATATAACATAGTAATTATGCATCTAATGACTGAGCAGATCTGAAGTTGTTTAAGAAGTTTGTTGGCGCTCTGGGTGATATTTTTTTGTTGTTTAAATAATATTTATCTCCTGACCACAGGCATTTAATACAATCATTTTAATAATCACACTGAGGACCTCTAGTAGTATATATTTTTGATGATCAGAACTTTATTTGACCCTACCACAAATAGTCTTAGTTTTCTCATATCATGTGATTAAGACCATGAAACTATAATTATTTTAGAAAAGAAAAAGACATCAGAAATCATGTTGTCCAAACTTTATTTTGGCAGACATGGAAACAGATGTCCAGAGAGGGGGTAAATAACCTTTGTGAGGTCAGTGTGTGATTAATTCTGGAACTGGAATCTGGTTTCCTAGTTAAATACTCTTTCATTATACTGCTATTTATTCTCTTGAGATCTCTACTTTCTGATATATGAATCTTTGATGAGTGTGAAACACTGAAATACAATGTTACAGAAATTCCATACTCCTGAATTGGCGATCTTACCCTTCTTCAGTCCACTAGGAGTGCCCAATTTTAAGTTAATGTCAATTTATTAAATTAGAAGTGAGAAGAGTCAATGCCGAAAATCAAATTTGGAACTTTATTTAATTTTCCAAGTAGTACTGTCCTAATTGCTGTTACTATACCTGTTTTGTAAAATGTATGTATTTTTTACATACATTTGTGGATATTCTTATGGATGGTGATTATTTGGGTAAGGTTGATAAACTGGAGTCCCAGGGACTGTAGATAGAAAGCATTCAAAGAGCTATGATCTGAGAACATTCTGAGGTTTCTGCCTAAAGAAATGTGAGCATTGTAACCTTCAGAATTTATGTTCCTTTTCTCACTTTCTTTCTTTTTATAAATTGTTTTTTGCTCATTTTCTTTTTTCTTTTCTACTCCTCCTGTTTCTTTGTCTTCAAACCTAATATGATATTTTACATTTCAAAAATGTTCCATTTATTCAATAATTATATCTGCCATTTTTCACTAAAATCATCCATTCAGCCTTATATAAATGTTTCTTTCTTTGTAATATTTCCATATCCTTACAGCATTTTTTCTTCTCTGTAAAATGTGTACAGCTTTCTCTGTGTGGTTTTTGCACATTTCCTAAAGCCATTACTAGTTATATCATTTTTGCTTTTGTGAAATAAGTGTAAATTTTATTATTTACATTTGACTAATACTGAAAAAGTTATTAAGTTTGCTATATTTATTTTTTGAATCAAGTCACTTTGAAATCTTTTATTAATTTAGCTATTTAATTCTTAAATTAACTTGTATTTTCTGTGTAGAAAATCAGTCTGCAAATAGTATTTTTACCTTCCAGCCTCTTGTTAGTTAAATGTCCTTAAAATTCATGCCAAATCTTATTATCGTGAACATGCAGAAAACTGTTAAATGATATTTAAATCCCTCATTTTAACAATGAGAAAAAACATGACTCAGAGAAAATGATAACCTGTATTAATATAACCGATTAAGGTATGCATATTAATTTGTAATCAATTCGTACAATCCCTATTAAATCAGGTTTAAGATCATCTTCTTACTTGATATAAAATAACTGAATGGTTATTCATGGAGAACTAAATCATTCTCTTTTAAATCTTTACCTAAGTAAATTTGATAAAATTTTAGTTGTTTGTAATAAATTTCTGGAAGTTTTATAATAAAGATTAAATCCCTGTTTAAAACTGGTCTCTATCCTAAACAAAAAAGTAGATAAGAAATAATAATTTATAATATTCTAGATGTGTCATTAAGCATAAACTTCTCATCTTGCTTTTAATTAGGCATCTAACTACAGTTTTCATGAGGAAATTTGGCTAGCCAACATTGTGTGATGACTGGCTTCATTCATGAATTATGGGCATAAAGTAACTCCTCCAGTGAGAAGTACTTGAATTGTGCACAGTGATAGGGATACTTCAGGAATTAGTACGCTCGTTGGAGATGAATGAAACAAAACACATAGTTTAAAAGGGTTGGACTTTTAAATGAACTTCAGTGTAATGTGAATTTGGAGTGGAATAAGTAATTGGCCAGAGTTCAATGATAATAATATGTTTTTAGATGGGGAGTGTAAGTGGGGAAGAAATTGAGAGATGAATGCAGGTCAGTGCCTGACTTGGGAATGGAAATGCCAAAGAGCAAAGGTCGGGGAGTGGGGGCCTTTGGGCAATACCCACCCCTCAGCCTAGACATCGCTTTGGTGTACTATTAACTTTGTTGTCTATGCCTGGTGCAGAGGCCAAGGAAAGTAAATCAGCTCTTTGATTTCCATTTTTAGCTCTCAACATCAGAAATCTAGTTGAGTCCCTATTTTGAATTATATCTAGTTCATGGGACTCCAGGGGAACTACTGAATTCATTCTAGAAAAGTTTCTTGGTAGTTCTAATTTGGATGGCTAAGGATCAAATGAGAGCAATGTATTTCAAAGTCAGTGCCATTACCTGTCAGTAGTGAAGATTACTGTTTTGTGAAACATGTATGTTTATCCATGTGTATAGTGTGCTGATATATTTTTATTGTGGAAAATAGTTAAAAATTAAAAAAAAAATACAGCTGCACTAAGATGTGTCAGAATCTCCAAAATTGATCAGAAAATCTAATGCCCACAAGGCTAACTTTAGAGCATGGTATAGGAGGTAATATAGAAGATAGAAGTGGGGCATTACTGAGAATAGTCCACCCCCAGCAGAGAGGAATATTTTATCAATAATTTTTGCCTAGAATTACTGGTGCATGGTGATATTAATAACCACACCAACTTTATTGAGTTTCCTTTTTTTTTAAATTCTTTATAGAAAATCTGCCTTCCTTATTTCCTGCATGCAAAGTAGACTGCTTCTACCACCCCTGATTCCAACCTTGATGTGCTATTGATTTAGAGCAGTAATGGAAATTCCAAGTTATTATATACCAGAGTTAGACTCTTTTATCAAGTTGTCAATAAAGATGGTAAGCCACTTATGAATAATATAGAAGTCACTGCAAAACCTAAATCAGCTACCAATTCAGGAAGTAAAATGTTTAGAGGAAATGGCTATTCTGATTTTTTCTTAAGCATAATTTATAAGAAGATTCCTTTTTCTTAGCAGCTAAGAAACACAGAATTCATACAGTTCTGGAAAGCTAACAATGCAATTTTTATGTATTGAAAATTTATTTTAACTTCCAAGATCAAAGTAAAATGAGGGGATAGATCACATTTCCAACTTCCAGACATTGTGTACAGATTAAATATGAATTATAGTTCAGCATGGAATAAGACAATCAGTCAAGGAGTAATTGGTCCCCAGCAACAGGTCTATACCAGACACTAGAAGATATCTCAGAAGCAAGAGATCCAGCTTCTGTTCTTTTAAGATTTTAAAAGCAGTTAAAGAGATGAAACTAGAATTAGAAGACAATAGCAAATAACACAAAAGTGTATATCTGTGTATCTTTAAGGGCAAAATTGTGTGCCATAGA